TTGTTATATATATATATATATATATATATATATATATATATATATATATATATATATATTCGATTTTGCTTCCACCGTCTTTTCTATGAATTCGTTATTTTCTTATCTTGTCGAATTTTCTTTCCGTTTATTTCTTTTTTTCTTCATTTATTCCAACACGTTATTCCTTCTTTTTTCTTTCTTTCTTTCTCTCCATCCAAATATCAGGCCTACCATGCAACCACTTGTTACTCGTGCACTAAGCCTAGGCGTACGCGCGTACAGAGCTATCAATAGACTTTTCGATCGATACAGGATTTGTGTCGGTTGGAATTGAGTGGTAAATACGCATGCGCGAGGCGCGGTTGGTGTGCTTGTGTGTACGTATATCGATTAAAAACCAGGTCTTCTTTATCGAAGTTTGCTAGACTGAATTTCACTTGGTTAGTACGAGTCTTTTTTCTTTTTTTTTATCTCGTGTAACTCCTCCACTGTGGCAGTGAATGCTGGACATTTTCCTCTAAGATGAAGAAGAGACCTGAAGCGATAGAAATCTGTGTTCTACAGAAAGATGCTGAGAATACTGTGGACCGAACATGGAAACAACGACGAATTGTTAGAGAAAATATAAACAAAAAGAAAACTTATAATTAACATCAGGAAGAGACATTTTATTATTCCCGGGTACCTCTTGAGGAAAGAGAGCAAAAATATTTAACACTCACAGGACAGATAAAGTCAAGAGGAACAGAGAAAAGCAGTGTAAATGGTTGACAAAAAAGAGGACTGGAGAGATAAGAAAAAGGTAAAATTTACGAAGAGCTAAAAAAAGAAAAGAAATTGTGGAGAGCCATGATCACCAACGTTCAGAAGGAACACGGTATATAGAAAAATATGTAAATGATTGTCAGAAAAAGAATTAGGAGAGATAGCGAAAAGACCAAACTTACTAAAAGATACAGACGGCAGCAACTGTCCAAGGAACATAATGAGGAAAGAAGACGTGGAGAATTTGATACTCACAGGATAGACAAAAGGCAAGAGGCCAGAGTAAAAACAACGCATAACCTTCCAAATGAGTTGGAGTCAATCGACGGCAGAGTGAGGTTTAGGAGAGATGAAAAAAAAAGACATTTATTAAGAACTAAAAAGGGCAGGAAATAGAGGAGGGCCATGACCGCCTCGTCATAAAGAGACATGTCGCATATGCAAGAAGCATAGAGGAAAACATCGCATAATATACAAAATGATCCTGTGTAAATGGATGACAGAATAGTGTTTAGGAGAGATTGCAAAAATAGGTAATCGTGGAGAACCATGACCGCCTACCTAGAGACCAGGCTTTAGACGTAGAAGAAGAAGTAGACAGTTTCAAATAAATCTGGGAGCCTCTATTCACATAGAACAGTAATTAGTTTGGATAAAATATTTCGGCGGGAAATCCTCTCTCTCTCTATATATATATATATATATATATGTGTGTGTGTGTGTGTGTGTGTGTTGTCATCCACAGACAGACTGTTTCTCTGTATCACAGCGCATCAGTGGGGCTAGACGTCCGGTTGCCTCTAGCGAGGACCGAAACCCGACTGAATTGGCGTCAGTCATGATTCTACCACTAAGCTGTTGTCGCGCGACCGGAATGTAAGTGAATTTAAGCGTATTTATTTTTAGATAAAGACACAGTAAGTGAGAGAACTCGATTCGATTTACCGAAGAGTCTTAGATTATTAGCCGTAATAATCACTGTTTACAAACCCACACTTCCTCACCAGAGAGCTCAACCGAAATAAATTTTCAGGCATATATATACAAAACATATATATATATATATATATATATATATATATATATATATATATATATATATATATATATATATATATATGCGTGTGTGTGTTTATTTGGGCAGTAATCCTTATTTTATACAATAACGACTCCCAAGGTACTGCGGTTAAGTTTTTTATTTAATTTATCTTGCGTTTTTATATATTTTTTATAATTTTTTATATTTATATTTTAACAAAACTTACATACATGCATACATCTATCTATCTATCTATCTATCTATCTATCTATCTATATATATATATATATATATATATATATAATTATTTATTTAAAATAGGATTCCAACACGCTACATAAGAGTATGTAGCCTGTTGGAATCATATTTTTTAAATAAATAATTATATTTATGGTCTACTTTTTGTATCGAGCACTATTTTTTAAAAATAATAGCAAAAATACTAAAGAACTTTTGGATTATTTATCTAACGAGTTCTTGCCTATTTTCTATATATTTCCACACACACACACACACACACACACACACACACACATATATATATATATATATATATATATATATATATATATATATATATATATATATATTTAGGAGCCAGACAAACCTACCCAGGTTTCACCGAGGCGGATCGTCAGGGAAATCTTTCCTGACGAGGTTTGTCTGAAACCTGGGTAGGTTTGTCTGGTTTATCTAGGTCTGCTCTACGGTTTTATTGAGCTCTTTTGTTAGTTAGTTGTTTACTCGTGTCGGGTTTTTTTTCTTTGGGCTTCAAACCTGTATCTGTGCGATTTTTTTTCGACAGACTTTCATGTTTCTAGCTCTTTCTTTTTTTAAAACCTTTTTTTCCCTCGAGATTGATTTGATTCTTGGCAAATCAAAAATTCGAAGGTTTTTCGAGACGAGTATAGTTACCTCTCTCTCTCTCTCTCTTTCTCTCTCTCTCTCTCTTTCTCTCTCTCTCTCTCTATATATATATATATATATAAATATATATATATATATATTAACCAGTCGTTTCCCTGGGGCTGAATGGTTAACAGGACAAAAGGTAGTTCTCATATGGGGTGCAGTCTCGATTACTGCTGGAGATCGCATATTTTCTACGAAATTTCTCGAACATTCAGAACACACACACGCACATATATATACATTTTTTTTTTTTTGCTTTTTTTCCATCACATTTGTTATTGATATCCCACGCTGTGATAATAGAAGTTCTGCCAGGAACAGTGAAATGTCGTAAGAACCATGACTCAAATTTATTTTGGATGACCTTGCGATTTGAGATCAAAGCACTTCCTAAATATTTTCTCCGTTGTAAATTATTTTCTACTTTAATCAGAGTATCATTTTTCTGTCAAAATTGCGGTCAGTCTCGTTACGGTGGTCAACCAACAGATTTGATGTATTGTTTTGCAAAATGTTCCTTTTATGTTCGTATAATCTTTTATTTAGATTAGTGTTTCTCAACTTTTTTAAGAAACGACACCCCGAGGAAAGAGATGAAAATACCACGACGCACTTAGCAAAATATTTAAAGTGTAAACATTTAAATGTTATTGAATAAAGCCATAGATTTAAAAAAAAAATATAAACTCAGATATGAACTTAATGTTTCTATTCAACTATTTGTACAGCTTATTTCGTGTGAAACTTGTGTCTGGTGCGTTTTCGCTATGTTTGGTCGAATATGCGATAAGCAGACCCTCATTTCTTGTTCAGTTGAGTGTAGTCTTTCTCGCTTCTTATTTATGATGTTATTTAGATTTGAGAAACCTAATTCACATAAATATATATACGTATATATATATATATATGTGTGTGTGTGTGTGTGTGTGTGTGTGCATGTGTGTGTGTATGTGTTCGTGTGTATGCTTGTGTGTGTATGCATGTGTGTGTGTGTGTGTGTTCTTGTGTGCCGTAACATTAGTTCGCGGTACACTGTGGTTAAGACTCACTGTTCTACAGAAAGATGTCGAGAATACCATAGAGGCGCATGTGAGAAATAGGGACGATTCTAAGAAAAAATGGTTATAGCATGAATGACTGTTGAAATTTCAGAGACATACAATGAGGAAAAGGCTTGGAGAATATAACACTTGTAGAACAAATGTAAGGCAAGTGTGACAGAAAGAACACATAGTAATTGTAGTCCCTGGGCCTGCTAGTAAAAACTCAGATTCCGTAGACTCAAACTTTTTAAGCAACGGCAAAATTTTAAATGGTATACATTTAGATGTTATGAAATAAATCTATAGATTAAACACACACACACAAATATGAATTTACATTTTGTCAATGTGTACTATTTAACCATTTGTGCGGCTTATTTAATGTGAATTCTGTGTCTGATTTTCTTTTTCGCGATTTCTTCAATGTTTGGTCGTATATACGATTAGCAGATCCTCATTATTTCTTCAGTTTAGCATATTTTTTCTCCTTTTTTTTTTTTGATGCTATTTAGTGCTGAGAAGCCTAATTCGCATAAATAAGTAGTAGAAAGTTGCAATAAAACAGATCAAGCGGTTCGGAGAACTCAATTCATAATTGAAGAGTAATGCTTAGTCGCAGTAGGAGCCAATATTATTTAGAAAAAAAACCTTTCCCTTCAGAGCTCAACCAGATTTACGGGAGCGTATATATTCATCCATAGACTAGATTATATTATTAATTATTAGATAATATTATTAATTATTATTTTATCGACAACCATCTATATACAAGCTTGTCGATAAAATGTTCTCTTCTAAGATATGAACTATACACTGACTAGTTATGCTACACACACAAGAGTAAATCTCGTCAACCCCATTCCTTTCTTATTTCCACTGAGACAGATTCTTCTCAAGAAATTTGTAGCACAGGCTCCCGTATTCCATTTGTAATCAGGAATTTCCAATCGAACAGATTCTTCCCAAGAACGGCAGGAAAATTTCCAAATCACTTCAACCTTGACATGTTCAAGTTTAAGGTCAGCCGTTATATTTCCAGCCTAACCTCATTTATTGTTCCTTCTTATGATTTTACAACACTACAGAGCAAGCCGATAACTTGAGTGGATATTGGGACTTGTACTGGGTAACACTTAGTATAAATAAAAGATGTTTTAACAGCGGATCGAATATGTCATTAGAAAGATGCCTTCTAAATGCTCAGCAAAGTATTAAGACACATGAAAATTTCGATGGAAACAAACGAGAGAGTGCAGAACTGATGTGCAAAATATTGAAAAATGACTTCAGAAGGATAAGAAGTTGGGGGGGGTTACAGCGCATAGAACAAGGATTATAATTAAAAAGAAGGATAAACTGAAAATATGAATGTTAAAACGAATGGGATTTATCGTCCAAATAAAACTTGAAATCAATGGTATTCTAAAGTGTACAACGGATAAAAGACCAAATTTTGAGTTTTGCTTTTTTTTTTTTTTTAATAAGGACTTATTATTGTTTACTGGTGTGTTTTTGACTTTATGATAATGGTAGTATATCTGATTCAGTTTGATAAGGTCAAAGTGGCAGTTGATCTAAAAAAAATAACCTACATTTTTTGTTAACAGAGGCAAGGAATGGTTTCTTAATTCTGACATCTCGAAAACAAAACTGATCACTTTGAATCGATTGGGAGAACACTTTTTGGCTATCATCACCATGGGTGATGCTAACCTCCAGGAGCGTGACTCATTGCATCTTCTTTGACTAATGTTTTCCCAGTCAGTATAATCTTGACCTCTTCAAGTCTAGGGTTGACCGTTATCTTTTCAGCCTAGACCCATGAACTGTTATCTCGCTTCTCTGGTGCCCCTCTTCCGCGATAGCCAGTGAAGAGCGCACAATACAATAACATTTTAGGCAAGCTTTGATTCTACATCCGGGAAACATGACCAGTCCAGCAAAACTGGCACTTGAGCAGCATGACCTCAATGCTGGTGATCTTTGCCCTTTTGTGGTCAACCCTAGTTGAAAACAGTGACACCTGGCGTCTCACCACCAACCATGCCGTCTCCAAATGAAAATACCTGCAGGGCCTTCTTAAGGACAAGAAGAGGCAGAAGAGGAAGTACTGCAACGCTATGCCATCGAGCCCAGGCCCGGACTTTCAACTGCCACTACTGCGACTGTATATGCCGGTCCCGCATTGGACTTATCAGTCACAAGCGTGCTTGCAAGCGACGTTTACAGGGTCCCTCTTCGTTTTGCGAAACCAAGCCATGATATATATATATATATATGACATTTTGTGCATATATATATATATATATATATATATATAATTAGTTATTTAAAAATATGATTCCAACGCGCTACATAAGAGTTCTCATGTTTCAAAACAAGAGCCGAAAACTTCAATATAATTATTTGAATTAAATTGAATTAAAGTACTAAGATCTGTTCCATCTTCAAGCGAAATTTTTTTTTGGAATAACTTATTTCTGTAATTTACGCGTTTTATAAGTATATTCATTATTGAAATCAAAATTTCCATGGTAAGGGCTAGAGCAATTGTTTAAAACAAAGGGGCGTAAGGTGTTAATAATTTGTATAAATATCTCAGTTACATTCACAGATGTCAAGTCCGGGTAAGGTTGGGGTGTCTAAATCTAAAGCGGAAGATGACATCGTCTAGTCTGGTTAAGTGTCTATGGAGATTTATTTATTTTTTTATTTTGTTTTTATCTTTTTCTGAAAGGGTTTTGTGTATATAAAAACTGTCGTGAATCGCGACCATGTGTTTTTTGACGACTTCATAAAGGGTTATCTTTTTTTGTAGGGCATTTAAACTATTTATCAGGGCTATGGAATTTAAAAATTATTTTATTGTTTGTTTGTTTTTATGCTAATTATTCAATGCAAAAATTTGATGATGTCGGCAAAAAACCGTTAACTCATGTCTATTGTTTAATAGATTTTTATTATTTAGAAACGTAATAATGTGTAGTTTTTCATGTAGGCATAAAGGGCATGGGTCAACCCAAGTTTTACAAGTTCTAGTTTTGTTTATAATTTTTTTCCATTTCTCTCTCTCTCTCTCTCTCTCTCTCTATATATATATATATATATATATATATATATATATATATATATATATATTTGGGCTTTTCGAAATACGGGTCAGCATTGGAGTTTTCGAGTGTTTAAAATAGATGTATGTCTTTCCACCTCCTCAGTGAAAGACGATTTTACCATCTGCAAGGAGAAAATTGTCAACAACATCTTTTCTTACTCGGGTTACCAAGAGTTTGTCATCATTATTGTCACCATCATTTATTTAAGAATTATTTTTATTTTCTTTCATTTTTTTTCTCCATATCTGAGTTGCTCTTTCTAAATCGTATTCTAATAACTTTTTTATTCCCACTTTTTCATTCTTATTCTTCAACTTTTAACGTGTTTTGTCTTATTTCATATAATCACACAGGCACGACAATCTAGGCTAATGTATCTCAAGGTGAATTTTAGAATGATACATGCACTTTTAATAAGGAAAAATTAGTGATGACATTTCAAACACAGAACAGTCCTCCGAATGATAAACTACATCCGGCAAAAAGGATTCTGATCGAGATTTTGAGGAGCTTCGAAAGACCTCTTTATTGATATTGTTCCCAAGTACACCCAGACCCGGTGTGGTAGCAACTGCTAGGGTGATGTTAAGTATAGCACTCTGCATCCGAGTGTAGGCTCTATGAAGTTTAGACAAGTGTTTTAGTTCAAACAGTATGACCAACATTAAAACCGTCCTTACAGTGGCGCGAAACAGTCTCCGTTTGAGGTTATCAGGTAGATCAGATTTCCAGAATTCATTTTATTCAAGGCAGCCTAGGCTTCAACTATGCAAATTTTCAGTTCCTTTTAAATAAAATTTATTTCGCTTCCTAGGTATGCAAAAGATTCTACAGATGTTATTGATTCTCCTGAGACAGTTTGTATTGAGTTTTTTGCTGGTTGAAGTTTATGAATTTAGTTTTAGATAGAGTCCAGCATTGTTAGCAGCACTTTCTAGATGATGTAGAACAGTGGCTGTCTGCAGTGATAGTTAGGTAATCTGTAGAGTGAATGTCGGTCAAATCAATTGCAGGATATCTTCTTCGACATTAAATCGGGTGTCATTCAGGGTGACACATTTGCATCGTTTCGCTTTGTTATCAACCTTGACTACATGTCGAAAACTTCCCACAGAAAACGTCATCTAGGTTTTACTTCATTACCAAATATCTCTCGTCTATATCCTTACAGTACTCTCAGACTAGAAGAAGGACATCTCTGAATTCGGAACCTCCGGAGCGTTATTTGGGGACATTTTGGCACATTGTGCACCAGTTCCTTGTATTGGTTTTCTTCCAAAAAAGTGTGGTTGGTTCTGCAGAAACCTTCAGCTCTAGAATCAAATGATTTGTGCAGAGGTCTGGTTGTCGGTCTCTAGAAACTGAGTTGCTTAACCCTCATACGTCGAAAACGACAGGAGAATCCAATCCAGTACATTTCTTCTTTTCTAGTAATTTCCTGGCTTCTACTTCTGTATCGCGACGTGTAACGCGTGATCTTGCGTATCGTGCGACACCCCAAATTTTCACTTATAAAAATAATTTTATCATGTATCTCGTGTATTATGTGAGTTCCTTTTTGGGAGCCCAAATTACAATAGACTAATCTCCTTTCTTTAATCTCTTTATCCCAGTACATACGCTAATTCTATATCTCCGACCCTCTTAAAATTAGCTTCAAAATTTGATCTTCAAAAGTAGCAAGATACTCGTGTATATACAGTATATATAACAAACCAACCTATAAGAATATTATTGGAAATTACTTAAATCCTGTCTCGATTACAGAAATGGATACAGTTGCCAAGAAATGGAATGATCCCCACTTTTTATCCTTCCTTTCCTTTTATTATCTATAAATGAATCTATTCTATTATAATTTAATTTTATGCTACGGATAGAGTTTAGGAGATCTCCGTGGGTATTTAAATAAATCCTAATTGAGATAATTTAAAATCATCTACTTATATCTATTTATCCCATCTTCTAGTTAAATAAATTTAAAAAAGTAAAACAGAATGATAAAAGTATCGTTAGTAACGCTATACTCGTTGCATAAACGCCTCCAGCCATAAACAACCGAACGAGAAACAACTAAATATCTTATAAACGTAAAGAATGGAAAAATACATATTCGCTATGTTTGTCTTTTATAATATGATACTAATATGTATTTTATAATACGATACTAATATCTATTTTATAATAAGGTATTAATATGTATTTTATAATAAGATATTACTATGGATTTTATAATACGATACTAATATGTATTTTATAAGATACTAATATGTGAATATTACAGTTAAGTAAAACATCATCATGTTTATTTTAAATACTGCTGTACTTTTTGACTACAGTAAATAGATATATAGTTTGCTCAACGGCATAGTCTGGGCCAGCAGTATATATGCTAATTTTAAATCTTGTATGATACGACCCCCTTAAAATTAGCTTCAAAATTAGGGTCTTCAAAAGTCGCATGATAAAAAACAAATAGCATTAAAGGCTATTGATATTTTTTAATGAAAATGACGACTCACCATTCGATGATTTTTCTAAGGCTGTTCATATCTATCTATCTATCTATCTATCTATCTATCTATCTATCTATTATGAATCTACCGTATAGACTCACGTATCATGCAACCTTTCAAGACCTAATTTTGAAGCTAATTTGACTACAGTAAATGGATATATAACTTTGTCAACGGCGTGGTCAGGGCCAGCAGCACGTATGTTAATTTTATATCCACGACCATGCGACCCTTTTAACATTAACTTCAAAATCAGGCCTTCAAAAGTCGCATGATACGCGAGTTTCAGTATTTGTTTATGACGTCGTATGAACATATTAGGTTTTGGCCTCCGTGTGGCCATTAATTGAAAATGAATTTAGACAGCAAATTTCGCCCACTGTTCATATCTATCTATCTATCTATCTATCTATCTATTATCTATCTATCATCTATTCTATCTATCTATCTAAGTCTGTTTATTATCTGTCTACTGTATATGCTCGTGTATCATGCGACCTTCGAACTCCTAATTTTAAAGCTAATTTGACAAGGGTAAATGGATATATAATTTGGTCAATGGTGTAACCAGGGCCAGCAGTATATACGTTAATTTTATATCTCATGTATGATGCGACCCTATTAAAATTAGCTTCAAAATTAGGTCTTCAAAAGTCGCTTGAGTTTCTACGGTAATTTGTTACGATATCGTTTCGGCCGCTATATATTCTTAGCTTCGAGGATTTTTTCGTTCTTGACAACATCAGAGAAAAAAAAAACTCTGTTACCCCCAAAAAGCATGGTTTTAGTCCCTGAACCAGACAATGTAAACATATCCACCATCTGACGAGAGAGGAAAGGGAGTATTATGGCAGAAAATGGCAGCTGGGAGTTGTGACAAATACGCAGAGGAGTCCAGAGGTAACTGGAACAATGAAGAAAATTCGTTCCCATAGGTAAAGAATTTCGTTCTTTAATCTTAAGTATGCTATGTAATTTAACAAACAACCACTAAAAAAAAAAAAAATGGCTCAGATGCTTCTTGTGATAAAGCAACAACAAAAAGTTACGATCGAATCTGTGTATAATAGCGACCCCCAAGTGAGGATCTAAATATGCTATAATGGATAGCAAGCAGTGAATGAATGGCAAATCAGAGAGCCAGATAACATTCTCTTACGCTGACATACCCTTGAGAAAGTTATGAATCGATATTTCCCCTTAGCTATGGGTTAAAGAGTAGATCTTGTATCATTATTCTTCTCAAAATAATTCATTATGCAATATTCACTAGCAAAGAAGAATTATTTCTTCCAATCCAAAATACTTAAGTTTTAAATAATCCTCAAAAAACCCCCCACCCCATCTACAAAAAAAGTCATACTCAAAGGATTTCAAATGAAATGCTTCTTTCTTTCTTTCTAGAACACCGTAGATCGAAAAACAGATACTACATCTTGATCCCAGTTCGAAGCTCGTGAAATATATTTACTCTCCCCACCACACGGTGGTAGGGGAAAGTGCCCGGTCCCCTTGACTAGTGTCCCGCTGGCGTCGATATAACACCGATCCATTCTTTCAGCGCAACCACGGACGTGCTGCCGCTTATTCGGATTCTACAGGTCTAGGTATATCTGAATGCACTTTCTGTGAACTGCGGAGAGCAGGAGACAAGTTCGATTTGATTTATCTGACCCCCCACAGACACTATGGCAGGGTATGGCACAAGTTTTTTTTAAGTTCTTTTTTTTTATGTCGGGAGCACTTATGCGTACGTACAAGCCAAGGACAAAAAAACGTTCACTCCCCGTAATCATTGTTCACGCTGGTGTCAATATTACACCGACCCTCTCTCTCAGTGAAAAATGCGCTGCGGCAGGTTTGGATTCCGCAGGGCCAGGCGCATTCTCCCATCTAATATTAGAACAGATACAACGCTTTGAAAATTGTTATTTACTTGTACTTCTCACAAAATAGTAGCCATTTTAATGTAGCAGAGGGTGCATGCGTATACATAAAGATCAAAGATTTGTTTTAAAATTACCCAGTCAGTGCAACCACTATCACACAAGTGTAAATATTACACCAATCCTATCTCTCTTAGTGCAATTAAGAATGTGTAGCCGCAGGTTTGGAATTCCTTAGGTCAGGCACCTTCTGCCATCTAAACTAAGAACAGGTACCACGCTTTGATCATGGCCTGTGAATCGAAATCTCATATTCATACTAAGGAAGTTTGTGTTTCTTTTTAATGTTAATGTATACGCATACATATAGGCCAATATTACACAACTCTCGCCTCTTTAGTGTAATGAATAAGGAGCTGTCACAGAGTTAGATTTCAAGTCGCTTTTTCCCACGAGGAGAAAGGACATTTTTACTTTGATCACAGCTCGAAGTCCGTGTAATTTTTTTTCTAGAACATACTGCAGTTTGTAGTGCCTTGTTTTTCCAAGCAGTGGCCCGACTAAATACACATCGAGGTCGACACTGTTTATCTTAAGTGATCAAATCGGCACTTCTAAGATGAGGACTGTCGTTTTGCATGTATCATTGAAAGACCTGCACCAAACTGCGATGTTGAGGAAACGATTTCATTACTCCAAATCCGTATTTAACTGAAAAACAAACAGAAATGTTTGGGCATGAAATATTCAGCCTACCCCGCTGTAGCTAGCTCTCGGTGACCAATATTGTAAAGTCGATGTGTCATCAAACGATAATATAGTGATTGACAAAGTGATTTCGGCGAAACTCTCAGGGCGCGTCACTATTTTCTCCGAGCAATGTTCCAAACGACAGGTAATCAATGTATTGTCAAAAGAAAAGTGCGGACCTCAATTAGAAGCGAGTCTCGTCTCTGCAAAATCTGTAATATACTTAGGATATAAATAAATAAATGCTATAATATTTACGGTATCAGTATGTAACGAACAGTAACATTACCCAAACCGCCTTCATGGCCTACCTAGATTTTCCCGCCACATTCCGTCAATATTGACAACTCAGACCACCTATCTCTTTATTCCGACATATTTCCCGGACGCTGAAAATAATCCCCAACTTAAGATGGCGCCCGATGACAGGTTCAGTAGGAAAATGAGAATTATTTACATCTTCAATAAATACTCCTACACACAGACATCTTGTGCAAAGATTGATACGTTTGCATATAATGTTCAAAGGTATAGTTTTTTTTTATTTTCTTGTGGTTAATTCTTTTGGCTCTCTCCTTCGCTTCCAGTTACCCTAAATAATTGGTCCTTCCTTTCTTGTCGCTTCTTGTCTTTTATTCTTGGTTGCGTTAAAGCCGGTTATCTGTAAATGGAAAGGGATTATTTTTTAGTTATAAAACCAGAAGAGTAACTACCAGTAGTTATGATCGTGTAAATATATATATATATATATATATATATATATATATATATATATATATATATATATATATATCTGAAGAAATATAGTTTTAAGGTGTGCTATATTTATGGGATAGAGTGCTCGGTATCAGAGATAGAGCGTATGTAAATATAAATATAAAAGCTGTTTCATGCTACACCCAATCTTCAGGCGGCCTGGCGATTGCGTCTATCATGAAACAGCCTGTCGCCTCTAAATGTTGACTTCAATGTCGACTTATATATATATATATATATATATATATATATATATATATATATATATATATTATGTGTATATATATGTGTGTTTGTATATATATTGATATAATAGTAAAGAATTGTTAGATTGATGATTCTTTAGTATTTTTTGTTTTTATTTTTTAAACAGTGCTCGATACAGAAGTAAAACCTAGATTATAGTTAATTTATAAAAATATGATTCCATCACGACATAGAAACTGTTACGTTTCGAAACTGGTCAGTATCAGTCAGGTTTAATTTCAATATTAAATCTTAACTGCCTGGTGACAGTCTTATTCTCAAGCGATGTTTGGAATAACTATGCTACGGAATGTTTTACTCATTTATAGTTTTGAAATGGAGGTGTGATCTAGGGTTTGCTTTTCATTATCAAGGGCTCACTGCTTTGGTTGATGTAGGGGTGTTATATGCCAAGTTTTTGGAGTCGTGTAAGGTTAGGTTGTTTTTTTTTTGTCTGGATACACTGGCTAATCTTATCCGACTCCCTGCTAAAAATTTAACTGATTGATGTTGTAGTTCTTGTAGTTTTTGGTGTTTATTTATTTGTTTTTTTTTGTTTTTTTGTTTTTTTTTGTTGATTTCTTAAAGGGGCTTTAAGATTATGATTGGGTTGTGTTTTAAACCTATTGTTTTAATTGAATTTGTTAATAGATTTGGAAGTTTATTATTATTATTATTATTATTATTATTATTATTCTGTCCATTTATAAAATGCTAATTATGTAAGGCGAATATTTGGTGGTGTCTGCAAAAAAACCGTTATCTCATTTCCTTGATTTAATAAATTTTCGTTTTCTACAATCATATGATTTTTCATTATTTTTGTCTAATTTTAAGTTAGGATCTTTAACCTTGAAAATTTCCCTTTTAATAATAGATGACGCATAGAATATGTATTATACCACTGCAAAATTTCATCCATTGAGAATCTAAATATAGAAAACATATATATATATATATATATATATATATATATATATATATATATCCACAATGAGTGAATTTGAAATAAGATGGAGACTACACAAAAGCTCTTTCAATAATATTAGAAACAGAAATCTGACATCACTATCAAAATACTCTTGGCATTTAAAAGAAACAAATAAAACACCAAAAGTATAATGGAAAATAATAAATAGAACAAGAACTTGTAAAACCTTGAATGACCCATGCCTTTTATACCTACATAAAAAACTAATAATGCCAGATCCAACAAAATCCACAGGTTACCCGAGAAGAGCTGCAGAAACATCTGGGTGCATTAGGGATTAAAGTAACCAAGCGTACAATAAGTAATGAACTACACAAAAATAGTCTGAAATCACGCATCCCAAGGAAGACTCCACTCCTCTTGAAACGACACAGAGATGCTAGGCTAAAATTCGTTAGAGAGCAAAAGGATAAAGAATATTCGTTTTGGGAAAAAGTACTATGGACAGATGATGCTAAAATAGAGTTGTTTGGTCATAATTATCGAAATCATGTGTGGAGGAAGGACGGTGAAGCCTACTTACCAAAGAACACGTTGCCAACTGTAAAGTTTGGTGGTGGCAGTATCATGATCTGGGGCTGTTTTTTTCTGCAAAAGGTGTTGGCAGAATATCAATAATATATGGCAAGATGAATGCCGAAAAATACGAGAAAATCCTGCAAGACAATTTAATGAGTTCTGTTGAGAGACTTCGGCTACCTCCTGATTGAGTTTTCCAACTGGATAATGATCCTAAGCATACCGCTAGATCTACAAGGAAATGGTTAGCTGAAAGTAACGTTGATGTCTTGCAATGGCCAAGTCAGTCCCCAGACTTGAACCCAATCGTGAATTTATGGCGATAT